GATCAATGAAACCTCAGACCTTTCTGGCTGCTGTCAGCCTATCCCCCCCCCCTTTCTATCGCTGGGGCCTTTTATTCTTCTCAGTCAAATCCCAGCCCCTGCCTCCCTTAGCTTACTCTAGAGGAGGTCCTTCCACCCCCTGAGGAGACCACTACACCAGAGGAGGACTTTATTCCTGTTAAGTCGCTCGCTTAACAAAGCAGTCGGAGAGTGATTCAGCAAGAACACAACTTTATTCTTCAACTCGAACACAACTCCAACACGGATCAACATCTGATAGCCAGAACAGCCTTTACATTGCGGCTGTCCTGCTTTTAAACATTCCCGGCTAATGTAGCCACACCCACTGTACAAATACCAACCAATAAGGTTGTTCACATAAGGACCAATCACGGATGTTCCCGCTCAGGGAGCTTGCTTGAAAGTGATTGGTTAGGTGCTTCCTGGACTAGTAACACGATTGGATGGATTTGGATCCTAGCCCAGGACGAAGCTTTACATTACACTTCAGTTAGATGTTTCACAACATATCATGCATTCAAGGCAGCTTTGAATACACTACAATTCCAAATGACACTCATGCTGGCTGTCTTTGCTCCCTGCTTGCTGTTTAGCTCCCCCCCCCCCAGGGGGGGCTTGCCTTGTCCTTCCCTCTGCTCTGCAATCATGCCATTACCCCTTTTTTTGGTTGCACGTATGCGCCCCCCCCCCATTCACCCTCAGGGCGTTCTGGAGCATGTCACACACCCTTTTTATTTTAGAGTTTATCTAGCCCTGTACAGATGACACATCCGCTTGTTGATTCACCAGGCAGAGAGGAAGAGCAGGCATGAGTGCATTGCCCAATGCAAACCCATGTAGGAAGGGCCCAGGAATATGCCCCCACCCTGTGGTCAGTGGCACTGATTTCTGAATGCTGCTGATCGTGGGGTGTGGGCATGCAAGCAGGCACTTCCTCTGTATGTTCACACTGTGCCGTTGACTTGGTGATGGCGCATAGGTGGGTGGGGGGTGGTGTGCTTGTTGTACCCACTGTCCCTCCGCATGTGGTGAGTTGGCCTGCGGATGGGTCATCTGCACAGGGCTTCTGAATATGGCCAATAAAATGAATTGGCAGGGGAGATGAACTCCGGCATATCCAAGGTTTTGAAAACATAGTGGCTCCAATCTGGTAAAAGCCCTTCAGGACAAATCCCATTACTACTTTTGTATTGATGTAACAGTTAACAACGAGGTTTTAACCACATTGTATTTAAGTGGTTCTGAGCTGAAGGAAATGAGTATAAGTAAAGAACTGGATTAATACTGGGGTCATTACAGGGTTCAGGTGTCATCCACTATAAGCAGGGGGTAGATAAATTCAGGTGGGTAGCCGTGTAGGTCTGAAGCATTAGAACAAAGTTAGTGTCCAGTGGCAACTTTAAGACCAACAGGGCTTGATTCTGGGTATGAAGTTTCGCATGCATGTACACTTCATCAGAAACACTTCATCAGGTAGACAAGTTGGACCCTGCTTTGCCAGCTTTTGGTGATTAACTACCAGGTGCCCGCTAGGGCTCTTGCAAAGAATGCTTGGCTATGCAGTCCCTGGTCTGCCCAGGTTCCATGAGATGCTTCCTATTTCTTTAAGTGAGCGTGCATCCTAAGAATAACTGACCCAAGTTTGTGCTCTGTATCTTGTAAACTTAACACACATCACTGAGCCACTGGGATTCTTTTTTTTTTTTTAAGTAAATCGTGGCAACAGGACTAAAATCAGCCTATTTGTGCTATAAACAACAAGCCTTAATACCCTTTACTTTTTCGGGTTGTTGTTGTTGTTACATTAAAGTAATTGGATTGGATCCAAAAAAATTCTAGCCATTAAGTGAAACACTTCCTACAAGTGTCTCACTTAGTTGAACAGAATCTTTGGATTCAACCCATTGTCAACGACATGTCAGATTTCTTTGCAGTAAATTTTTCTTGATTGTGACATCTTTTGATTCCGTTATCTGATTAGTAAGGTACTTCTTGCAGCAATAGCGTGATGAATACTACTTACTACATTCTCTGCTTATAAAGATAGCTCGGTGATGGAAGTTCCCTGGAGTTCATTTGCAGATGATTACAGCAAAGGCAGTAGTAAAGAACTCAGCAGCTGTACCAGAATTAATGTGAGATGTTGAAGTTAGCGTGTTTCTGAGATCTGGGCTATGCAAAGAATCAAAATGGGTGCTTTTCCATGTGGTTTCAGTTCATAAGGTGTGGAGACACATCATGTGGGTTTTGGTGATTTTGTACTTAATCAAGCAGTCCAGTGGCACCTTAAAAATGTATCTCACCATAAGCTTTCGTGAGTCAAATCTTCATTGGATGCATGTACATTTGTTTGTTTGTTTAGATTTGCTAGGCCACCCTTCCCTGCAAGCAGGGCTCAGGGCAGCTTACAACAGAGCAAAATGCAATAAATAATTTGATTTAAAACCAGCATTAAAATGACCTAAAAACACGTCAATAAATAAAACCATATACATTCTAAGATGGCGGAAAAAAGTGCATTTTATGCTGGAATGAATTTTGTTGATCTTTAAGGTGCCACTGGACTTCTGTTTAATTTTGCTACAACAGACAAACATGCTGCTACCCTTCTGGAATTATTATCAGAGTAAATCCCTGCAGATGTTGCAGTTGGGATGAACGTCCAGAGATGCAGTTTCTGGTGGCAATGCTACCATGGCATTCCAGTGTGTGACAGACTGCTTTGAGAAAAGGATGGCGTGAAGGCAAGACTGGACAGGAGCACAGATTTACATGCAACACTACTGTGATCTTCATTTTTGTGGAGCAATCAAAACTAGTTGTGTAATGCATACAACAAAGGCAAAAGCAGTGTATGCAAAATGGAACAAATTGGATTAAAAAAACACCTCTTACCAAGCACTCAAGTTTGGTGCGTTCTAATTGTAGTATTCAAGAACATGTTTAGTACTAAATTTCAGACTTCAGACAGTCTTTAGATAGAGAGCTGCACAATTAACTTTTCTAGCAGTTAACGAAATGATCTTCTCACTCCCAATTGTGTTTGTTCGCTTAGGAAGTTGAGAGGATGCACTCTTTTTATCACGGGTGCAAGCCGTGGCATTGGAAAAGCAATCGCCTTGAAGGCGGCCAAGGATGGGGCAAACATTGTGATAGCTGCCAAGACAGGAGTGCCGCATCGCACGCTCCCAGGAACCATTTACACTGCTGCGGAAGAAAGTAAGGATGACGGGCACTTGGGTGGTACGGCTACGGATTTCCAGGGTGTTCTGATTTCCAGATTATGTGGGGCTTCATCCTTGCATAGCTTTCCCTGGTGCTAATTTACCTGGACTCTCTTTCCACCAGTTCATATCTACCGGCCGGTCTATTTCACCCTTCTACTTGAATCAGAATGCAGTAAAGGGCTCTGTGCCCTGTCCTACACTGTTGAAATGGAAAGGAAGCCAATGTTAATAACATGCTTTTTGGCAGCCTTGTGCTCTGCTCTCTGAGCAAGGCGTAATCTTTAGACTGGAAACCTGCAGGCAGGGCTCTTCAGCTGTTTAGATGTATTTGTATGGTGGCCCAGGGGTTCCTAACACAAGATATGCTCTGCCCTTTCTTTAAGAGCCCCAAATGGCCCGTATAAAGTAATTTCATTTCTGTTTTCATAACAGTTTTTTAAGGTAGGTAAGCCTGAGTGAGTGGCTTGGGTTTCATATTCTCCTGGGTTTCATATTCACAAGCTGACACCCTCATTCTTTTATGGGCTCAAGGTAGCTTATATCATTTAAAACAATGGATGTGTGTATTTTTAAAGCTGCTCAAATGTCCTCCCAATGAAAGGAAATTGGAAGCCAGAGAACCAGGCATGTCTGTGAGTGGGGGGCGTGCACGGTTGCTTCCTGCCCTTCCCTGACTGTATTAGTGTTGGCAGTTGGAAGTTAAAGAGGGAGCGTCCTTGACTGAAACTGGATCTAGGCATGGCTGTAAAGATGAAGTCCTGTTTATAAGTGTCTCCGGAATATAGACTAAAACTATAAAGACCCAGATTTGGAGCTGGATGGCTATCTGTTCTTGCATCCGTTTGTTAATATTTGGCTACCAGATGAGCATTGTATACATACATCAATTGTATAGTGAAGGGTAATCTCTCCTAGGGTTGCCAACTGGCCTGGAGAATGCCCTGAGCCTTTAATAGAGGCCTACTGGGATGTTCTGTACCTCCATGCTGTGAAAAGTTTCAGTGGCCCATTTCCCCATATTAAGCTTCGGTTAAAGGGACGACATTTTTCTCCTGTTGGCAGCCTTTAATCTCTGATGTGTTAATGTTTTACAGCCCGAATCATGACAGCTGTGTAACTAGTTCTGCAAGCTCCAGGGAAAGCTGAGTAGGAGGCTGTTTGAGAAATATAAGCGTAGCGTGTCTGAGGGGAGTTTGTGAAGCAGTGTGAGAGGTTGGCTGTTAAGGGGGATAAAACCCCTCAAAAATCCCAATCGTCGTTCTCTAACCTTTGTGTGAACTTAAAGTAGCCCTTTGGATCTTTGCCTCCATTATTGTCAGGGCCCTCAGTTTAGTAAGTCTTTTGCTCTACAATGGAGGCTGTAATCCATATGCTTACATCTGGTGTTGAGCAGGGAAGGTTTGTTGGTACTTTAGTCTTGGACACAGCAGCTTTACTGAGAAGGAACTCTCTTGAATTTATTCTAGCACCATCAGTGTATGTAGTATTTGTAAGAACACAAGCCTAAAAAAAAGTTACATACCTACCCTAAGGGCTATATAATCTGAAATCCGTGTTTTGGATCATGATCTATGTTGGATGTAGGCTTTGGACTTTTTTTGGAAACTTCCCTGACAGTTCCGTTGAGTTATCATGGGTTGTGTATTATTTGTGGCTGTGGCCTGCCAGTGTGGTGTTGTGGTCAGAGTGGGAGACCCAGATTTGGATCCCCACTCTGCCATGGAAGCTCAATGGGTGACTTTGGGCCAGTCACACTTTCTCAGCCCAACCTACCTCACAGAAGAAGAGGAGATGATGATGATTGGATTTATACCCCGCCCTTCACTCAGTGTCTCAGAGCGGCTTACAGACTCCATTCCCTTCCCCTCCCCCCCACAGACACCCTACCCTGTAAGGTAGGTGGGGCTGAGAGAGCTCTTTGAAGAGCTGCTCATTTCAAGAACAGCTCTGAGAGAATTTATGACTGACCCAAGGTGGTTGTGACAGGATTGTTGTGAGGATAAAATGGAGGCGAGGAGAATGATGTAAGCTGCTTTGGGTCCCCGTTGCAGAAAGGGTGGAGTATAGATGGAGAAAATAAATACATTTTCTCTTTTCTAGTTGAAGCAGCTGGAGGAAAGGCGTTACCATGCATTGTCAATGTACGAGAAGAAGAGCAAATAGTTGACGCTGTGAATAAGGCTGTTCAGACATACGGAGGTAGGACCTAAGTTTGATTCTGCTGAATATGTTGCACATATTTATAATTAATAGAACACAACTGAACTGTTTTGTTTGTTAGTTAAGTGTGGGGAATTTCAGACAGGCGATAGATTCCGGAAGGGAACCGGTTCTCAAACGGGTTCTGGTCTGTCATTTCAGACAGAACCCGTTTAAGAACCGGTTCCCTTCTGGAATCTATTTGCCATTTCATACACAAACGCCTCAGTCCTGTTTAGGAACCGGGACTGAAGTGTTTTACCTGTCATTCACTTCCAAGTGGTCTCCAGTGCCTTCTCCCAGTTCTGATAAGCTTTTTTCCCGCCTTTTTTCACCCGCGCGGGCGATCTCCGGCTGTGTTTTGTTTTTTTTAACGTTCGATTTATAGCATTATAGCTCGAACGTTTTTTTAAAAAATCGATTACCCGCGCGGGAGGAAAACGGCGGGAAAACAAAGTGGTGCAAGTCTGAAATGCCAAACCGCTTCTGATCCGGCTCATTTCCGGTAGGGGCAAGCCCTGTGTGAAATGGCAGCCCTGTACCGGTTCACTTCAAAACGGATGATTGCCGGTTTGAAACCGGGTGAAACTGGGTAATGTGAAATTCCCCTGTGTTTCTACATGTCTAGTCTTTTTTTAAAAAAAAAATGCTGGTTTATTTTATAACCAGGGATAGATGTTCTTGTGAACAATGCAAGCGCTATCTCCTTGACTGGCACACTGGAAACGCCTACAAAAAAAGTGGACCTCATGATGAGCGCCAACACGAGAGGGACCTATCTCACGTAAGTGCTTACGGGTAAATATGGTTACATTTTAATTTTTTCCAATGATCAGGTTTAGGCAGGGGGGGATATCTGCTCTGTGTTTGAATTATGGGTAAATGCTCTGGATTTAGTGTTGCCTATTGGACAGGCAGATAGTTATGGGAGTGGACTGAGAGGAATAAGTTTTTAAGTCTATTTCAAGTAAGCCATGCTTGCTTCCGCTGCTCGAGGGCAGAAGCCTGCCGTTCTTGAAAGTGAAACAGACTTCCAGTGCTCTGTGCACATCCTGTGCTTGGGTAATCATAGCCAGATCTCTTCTAGATCCTCCCCTTTAAGAATTCATAACCTTTACCAAAGATTGCATTCAGTGTTCCCTCTAAGCTGAGTTAGTGTGAACTAGCTCAGTTTTTTAGCCTCCAGCTCACAGACTTTCATCTTAGCTCAGACTAATTTATGCAGTAGCCAAATCGCTCGCTCACAGCTTTAATGCCAGTAGATAACAAAGTAGAATTTTTGCTCACAAGACTCCTCAGCTTAGAGGGAGCATTGGCTTGCATTGTGTTTTCTTCTCTAGGTTTCTTCTGCCAGTTTCTGGGTTAGATCCTTCCTAGATTTCCTCAAATAGGTGGGCAATTTTCACTGATTCTCTCCTCCCATGGCAGCTCAAATGAGCCCCCCCAATGCAGCTGCTGAGGTACCGAGGACCCCCAGGAGTAGTGGGGAGCGGAGTATAGGAGGTCTCCCATGGAAGAAGGGGGATTGGTGAAAATCACCCTCCCCTGATGTGCCTATGGAAATCTAGGCAGAACCCAGCCTCTGTTTCTTTAGACTTTGTGCAGAAAATACATTTCTGGCCAGATCCTGTCCTCCTTATTCCTCCTTATTCCATCTCAAAACAGTATCTTGTGCAAGTAAAAAAAAGTAGAAAATAGTTGTAAACAGCCCTATTGGCCCTTGCCAAATCAAAAAAAAAGAAGCAAAATCACGCAGAACCTTTTATTCAGACCAAGCTGAAGGATGCAAAACATTGTGTAAGCTTTCAAGTTCTATAGCGCCCTTCATCAGGCAGATGTCACCAAAACTAAAAAATGAAGGAGGGAAAAGCAGATTTTCCAGGTCCAAGTCAAGCTGTGCAGCCTCAGTCACTTGTCTCTACCACTAGGCACACAAGCCTTTGGGGCTGCCAGGTGGGCAATATTTGCCAGATGCATGATCTGACAGTCTACTGTCATTTTCTTTTGTACTTTCATTTTTGGTCTGTTTAATTCCCCAGGATCATACCATGTTTGCACATCACCAGGCAAGAGTGGAGGGAACTGGCTTGATTCTTGGTGGCTGCACTGAGCGGGGCCAGGGAGCATGTTGACCACATTGTATGAATGGTGCCTCAAAGTGTCTCCCCCTTTTCCCCATAAAATGGAATGACATCATTTCTGGAGGGAGAGGCAAAGCCCTGCGCTTGAAAACTTTCTAGCAATGAGTGGTTGTGACTGACTTCCCTAACCCATGTGCCAATTTAGAGTTTCCCCATAAATTCTGGCATCTCCTTTGCTAGGACAAGTCTTTTCATTTTCACAACATGTTCACAGAGATGCCTCTCAGTTCTGAAATGTTGCATTGAAACAGTAATCAGCTAATTCTTAGCATTTTCTTACGCTTTTCATTTGGCTGTGTCCATGATGGTGAATTATTGCTTAAATCCACAGTTAACAGGAAGACCAGATGCTTGGGGTATAGATTCCTGAACCTGTCAGACTTTTAAAATATATTGTATATTGTATATAGGAGCTGCGGTGGCTCAAGTGGTTAAGACACTGAACTGCAGGCTGTGGAAGGTCGGTAGTTCAGGAGTTCGAGACCCGGGTGCCGCATGACGGAGTGAGCTCCCATCTCTAGTTCTAGCTCCTGCCAACCTAGCAGTTCGAAAGCAAGAAATTGCAAGTAGATAAATAGGTACCACTTCAGTAGGAAGGTAACAGTGTTCCGTGCGCCTTGGTGTTTAGTCATGCCGGCCACATGACCACGGAAATGTCTTCGGACAGCGCTGGCTCTTTGGCTTTGAAACGGAGATGAGCACCGCAACCCTAGAGTCGGATTCGACTGGCTTTCGAGCAAGGGAACCTTTACCTTTACGTTTGTATTGTATATATTGTATTGTATATATTTTATAAATATATTGTATTGTATACCTTTATAGACCTCAACATAGGCTACTTTTTTGAACAAATATTTGAGGAAGCTCCTTCCACATTCTAGAGAAACTCAAACTGCTTCAACTATGTGGCATGCAGGAAAACATTTCAAAAGAAACGCTAAATACTTTTGTAGTGTTCCCCCCCAAAGACCCATTGTAATGGAATTAAAGCATATTTGTTCCACAGACTTTTAAAAAGACAAATGCAACAATAAATAAGAAGACAGCAGATTAGACTTCCAGAAAAGTAAAATAAATGGAAACATATGTAAAATGAGCAACCAACAAGTGCTTCCTTGAGACTGACAAAAATTGGCACTGTGTCTGTAAATGATACAGGTTATGCACCAGAGATCTAGGAAAGGGTAACCAAAATGATCAAGGGGTTGGAACGCCTTCCTGGCAAGAAGAGACTAAAGAGTTTGGTGTTTTTCATTTTAGAAAAAGGATGGCTAATAGGAAGCACAGTAGAAGTGTATAAAGTTATTTGTTCTTCAGTCGCACTGAGTCTGACTCTTCGCGACCCCATGGACCAGATCACGCCAGGCCTTCCTGTCTTCCGTCGTCCTCTGAAGTTTGCTCAATTTCATGTTCGTTGCATCTATGACACTGTCTAACCATCTCATCCTTTGCCGTCCCCGTCTTCTTTGACCTTCAATCTTTCCCAGCATCAGGGTCTTCTCCAGTGAGTGCTCCCTTCTCCTTTGGTGGTCAAAGTATTTGAGCTTCAGTTTCATTATCTGGCCTTCCAGGGAACAGTCAGGGTGGATTTCTTTTAGGATTGACTGATTTGATCTTCTTGCAGTCCAAGGGACTCTCAAGAGTCTTCTCCAGCACCATCGTTCAAAATAATCTATTCTTCGGCGCTCGGCCTTCCTTATAGTCCAACTCTCGCAGCCATACATGACTACTGGGAATACCATTGCTTTGACAATCCGGATTTATGAATTTATGCATTACCTTAAAAATAGATAGTGGGGACTTTTCCCTTACACTACCAAAATATGAGAATTCAGAGGCACCCAATGAAAGGCTATTGGGACAGACCAAAGGAATTGCTTCTTCACACAGTGCACAAGGAGCTGCAATGGGATGTGATGTTGGCCAGTGTCCTAGATGACTTTAAATGTGGATTGTCAGCTTTGGGCTGAAGTCCAGGGCTGTCTTCTTTTCCAAGGTTCCTTCAGTAGGGCTTGCCTGGGGGGGCAGAACCTCAGAAAAGAGTGAGGGGAGACTACAGCACCTTCTTCCTCTCTTGCTCCTGCCAGTAACCTCCCCCTGGTTGCCTTCAGTGAAGTCTGCCCTTCATCCCTGGTTCTTCTAGGGTGCACCCTTTAAAGGACTACCTGGGGGTGGGACAACTCTGGTCTCTCCCACTCCTTGTATCCTGGGGGATGGTCCTATTGGAGTTGTGGGTCCTAGGACCAATGGGAAGCTGCCTGCCTAGGATTCCATTTCCCCTGCCCTTCCCCCGGGAAGCCTTATAGGGCTTCTCCTCCGCCCCCTGCTGGTGTAAAGAGATCAACGCAGCCTGTTTCCTGCCCCACCCCTCCAAAGCAGCCTTCCTGGTTCCCACAACAGAGGAGGAATGAGCCATCACTTGTGGTGGGTTCTGCTGCTCCTCTGCTACCCTTGTAGCTCTGCGCCTCTGCTGGTCTGTCTGGCATCTCTGGGCATCGTGGCGAGCTGGGAAGCTTCTCCTATGGTGTCACATTGACCTTCTAAGTGCAGGGGGGGGGTGGGAGGTCTGATCCCAGACAGTGGACTAGACAGATTCATGGAGAAAATGTCCATGTTCAGAGGCAGTGTACCTCTGAGTGATAGATGCTGGGGGTCAGCGGCAGGGGGAGGCTTCAGCTTCTGTCCCCTTCCTGTGGACCATCTGGAACATTTGGCAGCATGGTGGGAGCTTAAGTAGGTGGGACCATTGGTGTGATCCAGCAGGGCTATCCTTATGTTTTTAGATAAACAAGGCACAATCTTGGCAAGACCTTTAAATCCCACAAATTAACCACAGAGGTAACTGAGGGTCAGGTGTCACGCAGCTTTAACACAAGTATTTTGTCTTGGTTTTTGTTGAGTGGTAATGCAGCTCTATTAAGATCTGGCATAACAGCAAATGGGACCCAAAGAAGCAGAAAGACTTCTGCGTAGCCCTACTTGTGCTGACTTGTAATGTTGAACATAATTTCCCCAGCAATGAGAAGATCCCACAGTTTGCCAAACCCATCGAAAGGTGGGAGGATTTCCCCTTTTTGCCAGCTCTAGCTTAGCTGCCAGCAGGAAATAAGCTATAAGGGCAGATTGTGAATTGGCCACCAGCCCATCTATAGCACAATGTGGGCTGGATCAGAAGAAAGGGGGATTGTAGTGCTGGTGATAAGGTCCAGTGTGCTCAGCCAGTGTTATTGGGACCCCTGGATTCTCAGTGGAGGCAGCATTTTTCTCAGTAGTGACAGCTGCATTCTAGAGTACAGCTGACACAGGCTAATATCTGTAAACTCCCGTTGGCAGCTTCCTTGCAGATTGAAAGCGATGCCGAGAGAAATGCCTCTCCAAGGAGTACTTTGCTGCTGCTGTGTGCCTGTCAGTTCAGAAATTTCTGAGGCATCCTGGAGTTAACACTATTTTCTGTTTGTTTCCCTCTAACTGTGCTTTTTTAGATAGCCAAGCCCTAGTGGTACATTTCCTTCAAATCTGCAGGCAATTTCTTTATTCTTGAGTTTAAGCTGTCACCCTAAATAATGCTTCCTTTTCAAGAAATTTCGAAGGCCACAGTTTTTGTACTGTGAGGCTGGCATCCTTAAAAGAGGAGTTTAGAGAT